CACCATTGGCTTGGTGCGGGGAGCAGGAACAGGCCGGGCCGGGCTGGCGACGCGCACCATTGGCTTGGTGCGGGGAGCAGGAACAGGCCGGGCCGGGCTGGCGACGCGCACCATTGGCTTGGTGCGGGGAGCAGGAACAGGCCGGGCCGGGCTGGCGACGCGCACCATTGGCTTGGTGCGGGGAGCAGGAACAGGCCGGGCCGGGCTGGCGACGCGCATCACAGGCTTGGTGCGAGGGACAGGAACAGGCCGGACCGCACTGGGAACACACACCACTGGCCTTACCCGGGGATCAGGAACGGGCCGGACCGGACTGGCAACACACCTCAGTACCTCTCGCCGTGCCTCTACATTTTCCTTCCCTCTACTCGCCAATGGCTCCCGTAACCCGGTGGCCTTCTCTCCTCGTCCACTAACTCGCCCCTTATGTGGTCCTCTGTAGCTCAGCTGGTAGAGCACGGCGCTTGTAACGCCAAGGTAGTGGGTTTGATCCCCGGGACCACCCATACACAAAAATGTATGCATGCATGACTGTAAGTCGCTTTGGATAAAAGCGTCTGCTAAATGGCATATTATATTATTATTATTATCTGCCTCCAGCAGCCCCGTCGTCCACGGTGTGAGCCCCCCCCCCCCCCTAAAGATTTATTGGGTTTGTCTCTCCCCCGTGGCTATGGCCTCCATGGCTCTCGCCAGACTCTCCATCTTCTGCTCCCAAGTCCAACCTCTCTCCTCCTCACGCGGCTTGACCCAGTCGAGGTTGATATCCATTAGAGTCCTCTCTGGCGTTGGCTCCTGGACACGCTGCTTGACCCAGTCGAGGTGGATATCCGCTAGAGTTACCTCTGGCGTTGGCTCCTGGACACGCTGCTTGGTCCAGTATTGGTGGGATCTTCTGTCACGATCGTTGGAGGAAGTGGACCAATGCGCAGCGTGATGAGTGAACATACTTATTTATTCAAGTACCACACGAACAAAACGATACGTGACGTCCTTGGTTACAATACAAAACCAACACGGAACAAGATCCCACAAAACACTGTGGAAAACAGGCTGCCTAAGTATGGTTCCCAATCAGAGACAACAATCAACAGCTGATTCACGTTGCCTCTGATTGAGAACCACACCGGCCAACATAGAAAACACATCAGCTAGATAATGAACCTAGAACACAAACACATAGAAACTACACACCCTGGCTCAACATAACAGAGTCCCAGAGCCAGGGCGTGACAGTTCTCTTGATAAGTATGCGAATTAGACAATTTTCCTGTCCTGCTAAGCATTCAAAATGGAACAAGTAATTTTGGGTGTCAGGGAAAATGTATGGAGTAAAATGTACATCATTTTCTTTAGGAATGTAGTGAAGTAAAAGTAAAAGTAGTTAAGTACGCTACACCACTGTGGCTCCGGAATGGGAAAAATATCCCTTCTATTTTATTCAGCTAAGTTCAATTATATTCTTCTTACTATAAAACCATGCATACTGTATATAGTACCAGTCAAAAGTTTGGACACACCTACTCATTCAAGGGTTTGTATTTATTTTTACTATTTTTTACATTGTAGATGAATAGTGAAGACATCAAAACTATGAAATAACACGTATGGAATCATGTACTAACCGAAAAAGTGTTAAATAAATCAAAATATATGTTATATTTGAGATTCTTCAAATAGCCACTCTTTGCCTTGATGACAGCTTTGCACACTCTTGGCATTCTCTCAACCAGCTTCACCTGGAATGCTTTTCCAACAGTCTTGAAGGAGTTCCCACATGTGCTTAGCACTTGTTTGCTGCTTTTCCTTCACTCTGCGGTCTGACTCTTCCCATACCATCTCAATTGGGTTAAGGTTGGGGAATTGTGGAGGCCAGGTCATCTGATGCAGCACTCCATCACGCTCCTTCTTGGTAAAATAGCCTTTACACAGCCAGGAGGTGTGTTGGGTCATTGTCCTGTTGAAAAACAAATGATAGTCCCACTAAGCCCAAACCAGATGGGATGGCGCATCGCTGCAGAATGCTGTGGTAGCCATGCTGGTTAAGTGTGCCTTCAATTCTAAATAGATCACAGACAGTGTCACCAGCAAAGCACCCCCACAACATAACACCTCCTCCTCCATGCATTATGGTGGTAACTACAGATGCGGAGATCATCCATTCAACCACACCACGTCTCACAAAGACACGGCGGTTGGTGTCCAGACCAAAGGACACATTTCCACCGGTCTAATGTCCATTGCTCGTGTTTCTTGGCCCAAGCAGGTCTCTTCTTCTTATTGGTGTCCTTTGGTAGCGGTTTCTTTGCAGCAATTCGACCATGAAGGCCTGATTCACACAGTCCCCTCTGAACAGTTGATGTTGAGATGTGTCTGTGACTTGAACTCTGTGAAGCATCTATTTGGGCTGACATTTCTGAGGCTTGTAACTCTAATGAACTTATCCTCTGCAGCAGAGGTAACTCTGGGTCTTCCATTCCTGTGGTGGTCCTTATGAGAGCAAGTTTCATCATAGCGCTTGATGGTTTTTGCAACTGCACTTGAAGAAACTTTCAAAGTTCTTGAAATGTTCTGTATTGACTGACCTTCATGTCTTAAAGTAATGATGGACTGTAGTTTCCCTTTGCTTATTTGAGCTGTTCTTGCCATAATATGGACTTGGTCTTTTACCAAATAGGGCTATCTTCTGTATACCCCCCCCCCCCAAATATATTTTGATTAGTTTAACACTTTTTTGTTTACTACATGATTCCATATGTGTTATTTCATAGTTTTGATGTCTTCACTATTATTCTGTATACCCCCCCCCCCCCCCCCCCCCAGACCTTGTCACAACACAACTGATTCACTCAAACGCATTAAGAAGGAAATACATTCCACAAATCAACTTTTAAGAAGGCCCACCTGTTAATTGAAATGCATTCCAGGTGACTACCTCATGAAGCTGGTTGAGAGAATGCCAAGAGTGTGCAAAGCTGTCATCAAGGCAAAAGGTGGTTATTTGAAGTATCTCAAATATAACATATATCTTGATTTGTTTAACACTTTTTTGGTTACTACATGATATGATGTTTTTATGGTATAATGAGGTCATGCCATAGTATTGTGAGGACAGAGGAAGAGTTAAGAGATGAGTGGTTTGGGGCCATGAAGTCTACATTCCATTATGTCAAGGTAGATTAGTGATGTTTAGGATAGCATGAGTGATGTTTAGGATACTGACTTGGGGTAAAGAGTGATGAACATCAAAGACAGGGAGTGCCCATGGAGACTTGCCAGATGTATGCCAGGAAGATGGTAATAAAGGCTATATAAGATAGAGTGTCTTCTTTGTTCAAGTTAGTTCAACAGACAAAGAGCAAAGCCATGTCCGTTTGTTAGATGAACCCACGAGCTCGTGATTGAATAAATACTTGGTATAAAATCTCCACAGAATGTCTAAGTAAATTCTTGCATCTTGAACTCCTCAATACCAGAAACTCATCATAACACTACATGATGCCATATGTGTTATTTCATAGTTTTGATGTCTTCACTATTATTCTACAATGTCAAAAATAGTTAAAAATAAAGAGAAACCCTTGAATGAGTAGGTATGTCCAAACTTTTGACTGGTGGTGTATATATATATATATATATATATATATATATATAGATAATGGCACAGGCATGGCATGGTGCATAGCATACAGTAGGTCAACTCATATTCTGAAATATATTTTCTTCATATCATAATGTTTCTTTAGACCTGCCTAAAATTAATAATGGATTCATTGTGATGGTGTATTCAATTGATTTATTAGCCTTTTTAGAATGTAGATTTTCCAAAGGCGCAACTCAATATTAGGAAGGTGTTCCTAATGTTTGGTATACTCAGTGTATGTGGGCTTAATTTGAAATTACCTTTACATTTCTACCCCACAATCTGTAACGCTTCATTGATACAGATTGAATAGAGCCCCTAGGCCTTAATCTGGAATAACCTCATCCAAATTCTGTTGTGCCTTTTTGGCTGTTGGTTGGTTTATCCAGGATATTTGTTTGTGCTGGTTCCCTCTTCACTCTCGGAATCTAGATGCCTCCGTTTACCTCTTTGGAATCCCTCAGCAGTTGTCATAGGAACCAGAGGAGCCGACAGACTTCATGGAATATTGGGTTTCTGACGTGTAATGTGCACAAAAACAATTTATCATGCCTCTGTAACGAGTCATAGGTTAAAAATCATGACAGACACAGACACTATTAAAAACATGTTTTTTTAAATCAATTCATTAGGCTTATATACAGATACACAGAGAGGTATACAAATGTTTGTATGACCAATCATGTATGAAGGGTATACATACAGTAAAACAAAAACATAATTAAGCACACACCATAGATTATAAAATACAGCCATTTTCAATATTAACATAATGTAATCAATACATAATAACAACATACAGTTTTCTTGGCTCAATATCACATGTTATTTATGGTGAATGAACAGTCATATTTCTCATTTGGAACAATGTCAATGTACTAGATCTAGGCTAGATATACAGTGAGTACAAACATTAGGAACACCTGCACTTTCCATGACATAGTCTGACCAAGTGAATCCAGGTGAAAGCTATGATCGCTTATTGATGTCACTTGTTAAATCCACTTCAATCAGTGTAGATGAAGGGGAGGAGACAGGTTAAGACTGATTTTTAAGCCTTGAGACAATTGAGACATGGATTATCTACGTGTGCCATTCAGAGGGTGAATGGACAAGACAAAATATTTAAGTGCCTTTGAACGAGGTATGGTAGTAGGTGCCAGGCACACTGGATTGAGTGTGTCAAGAACTGCAACGCTGCTGGGTCTCCTTCCAGGCACAGCGACAATCTGACATCCACTGAGAGATCAGGGAATGTTTGACCGTGGAGCTCTCCCTCTCGCTTTCCCTCTCCTCCTTCCTCTCTTTCTCTCTCTCTTCGCCCCCCTCATTTTCTTTGCTTAATGGACTACTTATCCTAGCCTGTAGCAGTTCTGCAGAGCCCTGTGTAGGTGTGCATGTCTGTGAGGGCTGTGTGGTGAGGTAAGAGCGAGAGGGGGCACAGTCAAGGGTGGCTGTATCACTGAATTTAGGACAGCTAATCTTACGTTGCTGCTGGAGGTCAGAGGGGCAAGAGCGGGGGTAACTGTGTGCCCGTGGGCAGGACTGGCCCTCAGACACCGCCCAGTGTCTCCTCAAACCCAATCCCTGCCTCCCATTCCCTGATTGACAGGTAGAGTGGGCGGGGCTGCTGTACAGGAACTCTAAAGGGTCTGACGCACCATGGCTACCAAACGCAGGCTTGCTGCAGTTGGAATCTTTCTCCTGTCCTCCACACACAGTGATGAGGTCAGAGTACATCCCAGGCTCCACCCTGTCCTTCCCATGAGCCTTTTCCCTGTGACAAAGTGCAGTGGTCTTTGGAGAGTTTTCATCTTGCCAAGTGTGCCGCGGCAGCCTTGGCCTCTGGTTCAGCGAGTCCTGCTGGCGAGGGTTGATGATGTCATTGGTGGGAAGGGAGGTGGGGTGAGCCAGGTGGCATATGGACAGCAGGTAGTCCTCTGAGGATAGAGTGTGTGGGCAGGGCCCTGGGTGAGCGGTAGGCTGGGCAGAGTGGAGGGTGTTGGACTGGTTCATCTGATTCAACTGGTTAATGTCTCTGACTAGGTCCTCGAAGCCCTCTCTGATGGTGGGAAGCTGTAGTCTCCTCTTCTGGGACAGGAGTTTGGACCTAGGACGCATGGCTGCTGGGACAGACAGAGACAGACGTCAGTCAGCAAGAGATAATGTTTGAATAATATCTGAGTGACTTTGTCCTCATGGACGCGGGGTCTGACAATTGGGAAATGATATCTTGTTAATACTCTGATTAATCATATTTCATAACTGCTCCTTTCAATGGTCCCCACAGAACCACATCAACACCATTCCATACCTGGTAACCTAAGCCCTGCTCTCTTCTCCTCCTCTCTGTTTGCTCAGGAGGAGCTGTGTAATATGACCGTAAGACAAACACACCGTGACCATGAGAAACATAGCTATGTAAACACACTGGTATATACACAGAACAAAAATATAAACACAACATGTAAAGTGTTGGTCCTATGTTTCATTAGCTGAAATAAAAGATCCCAGATATTTTCCATACACACAAAAAGCTTATTTCACAAAAAGCTTATTTCTCAAAAATGTTGTGCACAAATTTGTTTACATCCCTGTTAGCATTGTGAGCATTTCTCCTTTGCCAACATAATCCATCCCCTGACAGGTGTGGCATATCAGGAAGCTGATGAAACAGCATGATAATTACACAGGTGAAGCTTGTGTTGGGGACAATAAAAGGCCACTCTAAAATGTTCCGTTTTGTCACACATTTGGCATGCTGACTGCAGGAATGTCCACCAGGGCTGTTGCCTAAGAATTGAATGTTCATTTCTTTAACGCCGTTTTAGAGAATTTGGCTATATGTCCAACCGGCCTCACAACCGCAGACCACGTGTAACCACGCCAGCCCAGGACCTCCACATCCGGCTTCTTCACCTGTGGGATCGACTAAGACCATCCACCCGGACAGCTGATTAAACTGTGGGTTTGCCAACCAAAGAATTTCTACAAACTGTCAGAAACCGTCTCAGGGAAGCTCATCTGCATGCTTGTCATCCTCACCAGGGTCTTGACCTGACTGCAGCTCGGCATCATAAGCAACTTCAGTGGGCAAATGTTCACCTTCAATGGCCACTGGCACGCTGGAGAAGTTTGCTCTTCACGGATGAATCCCGGTTTCAACTGTACCGGGAAGATGGCAGATGGCGTTGTGTGGTCGAGCTGTTTGTTGATGTCAACGTTTTGAACAGAGTGCCTTATGGTGGCGGTGGGGTTATGGTATGGGCAGGCATAAGCTACGGACAACGAACACAGTTGCATTTTATCAATGGCAATTTGAATGCACAGAGATACCGTGACAAGATCCTGAGGCCCATTTTCGTGCCATTCATCCACCGCCATCACCTCATGTTTCAGCATGATAATGCATGGCCCCATGTTGCAAGGATCTGTACAAAATTCCTGGAAGCTGAAAATGTCCCAGTTCTTCCATGGCCTGCATACTCACCTGACATGACACCCATTGAGCATGTTTGGGATGCTCTGGATCGACGTGTACGACAGCATGTTCCAGTTCCCGCCAATATCCAGCAACTTCGGACAGCCATTGAAAGAATTGGGACAACATTCCACAGGCCACAATCAACAGCCTGATCAACTCTATGCGAACGAGATGTGTCACGTTGCATGAGGCAAATGGTGGTTACACCAGACTCTGACTGGTTTTCTGATCCACACCTCTACTTTTTTTTAAGGTATCTGTGACCAACAGATGCATATCTGTATTCCCAGTCATGTGAAATCCGTAGATTAGGGCCTAATTTATTTATTTCAATTTACTGATTTCCTTATATGAACTGTAACTCAGTAAAATCTTTGAAATTGTTGCATGTTGAGTTTATATTTGTGTTCAGTGTAAATACCATAAATACCAAACCAGTCACCCAGAACCATACAGAACTACATACTCAAACCTATATTTTCTTATGCGACCCATATTGTTTCAGCCCTGACTGCAGCCTGCAGAGCATTTCAGTCCAGACCTCAATGCCAAAAATAGCTACACCCAAACCCTAAAAGCCAGCCTCTCCCTGTATCCCTAAAGGTGGAACGTTGCTAAATATACAACCACACCTAGTTGGTATACAGTGATTCAGACCCATACTAGCATTGTTACTATACACAGCAAAGATATATTAGCAATAGGGTTGGGGAGTAACGGATTACATGTAATCCGTTACGTTACCAGCAAAAAAAATTGTAATCAGATTACAGATACTTTAGAAAAACGAGATGATTACTAATTGGATTACTTTTAAATTCAGAAAGGATGTTTGCGAGAGAAAAAAAATCATGACACCTTTCTGTTTTCTCAGTGACATTCAGTTCAGGATTGAAAAAAGGTGCAAGTTTAAGATTGTTACACCTGAGGGAGTCTGACCACAAGTCAGAGACATCTATGATGACACACCAAATGCGTTTGACGGATCCTTTTTTCTCTTCTTCTAATGCCTTTTAAGGAGAAAGTAATCCAAAAGTAATCAGATTACGTTACTGAGTTTGGGTAATCCAAAAGTTATGTTACTGACTACAATTTGGGACAGGTAACTAGTAACTGTAACATATTACATTTAGAATGTAACCTACCCAACCCTGATTAGCATCCTGTCTATATTCTAATACACTAGTTATAACTGTAGGCTAGTGTAATGGTCTTCGGCACCACTGTCTTGCAGACTCACCTGTAATAAGAGTTGTAGAGTGTATATCCAAGTATCTTCCTCTTTCTCTGTTCTTTGCTACTGTAGTGTATATCCAGGTTTCTCTCATCAACTATTTAGGAGAACATGTGAATGTCTGTGCAATAAGATCTGTATCTTCAAAAAAAAGAGAATTAGTGATGCTCGTCTCTGAGTGTGCTCTGTAGCTCTGTCTCTGACTGTGTCTTTCCTGAGGCAGCAGTAGAATATAGATGTATCTCCTCCCTCTCTCTCTCTCTCTCTCTCTCTCTCTCTCTCTCATTCTCTCCCTCATTCTGCCCTCCTTCCCTGATTCTAAATATAGCATCATCCTCCATTTCCTATCCCAGAGCACTGCCACTGGATGCTTGGGTTGATGGATAGAGACAGAAAGAGATGGAGATAGATGAAGAGATTGAGAAAAATAGAAGTCGAGAGGGGAGTTCTAAAAGAGCAGAAGTAGGAACGGGGGACAGATTGAGAGTTGTGGAAACAGAAAAAGTCTAAATCTACCACTGTTTATTACCAGGCTATAATTGGCTCCGGTGTAGAATAAAGCTGGTATACTAGACCAATGCTTCTCTGATACAAAGTGTCTTGCTAAAACATAGAACCCCTATAAAGTGGTAGTATGTGGTAGAATGTAGCCTCAATATCTCTGATAATGTTACTGATGCCATAATGTGTCAAGTTGGCCTTATAATGTGTGTGTGTCCTGTTGGGCTGAGTGCTCTATTCCTGTCCTTCTGCTCTTCGAGTCCAACAATGAATAGAGATGGAGGTGGGGGGTAAATTTACTTTGATCAACTGGTCCCATCAAGGAGCTGTTGACGAGTTGTGAAACAGCTTTGAAAATTCAGAGGTACCACTTTAAACCTACTACACCCTCTTCTGAACATCTTGACCCAATTCACATCAACAACAATATGAACCATTACGTACAATGAGTGTACAAACATTAGGAACACCTGCTCTTTCCATGACATAGACTGACCAGGTGAATCCAGGTGAAAGCTATGATCCCTTATTGATGTCACCTGTTAAATCCACTTCAATCAGTGTAGATGAAGGGGAGGAGACAGGTTAAATAATGATTTTTAAGCCTGGAGACAATTGAGACATGGATTGTGCATGTGTGCAATTCAGAGGGTTAATGGGCAAGACAAAATATTTAAGTGCCTTTGAACGGGGTATGGTAGTAGGTGCCAGGTGCACCAGTTTGAGTGTGTCAAGAACTGCAACGCTGCTGGGTTTTTCACGCTCAACAGTTTCCTGTATGTATCAAGAATTGTCCACCACCCAAAGTACATCCAGCCAACTTGACACAACTGTGGGAAGCATTGGAGTCAACATGGGCCAGCATCCCTGTGGAACGCTTTCGACACCTTGTAGTCCATGCCCCGACGAATTGAGGTTGTTCTGAGGGCAAAAGGGCGTGCAACTCAATATTACGTAGGTGTTCCTAATGTTTTGTACACTCAGTGTATATGAACTTTGTAAAGTGTTCTAGGTGATCTATACAATGAAGTTCTCAGTGTGTGTGTGTGTGTGTGTGTGTGTGTGTGTGTGTGTGTGTGTGTGTGTGTGTGTGTGTGTGTGTGTGTGTGTGTGTGTGTGTGTGTGTGTGTGTGTGTGATGATTCATAGAAAAAACTGGTAGCTGTATGATCACAGGACACTTCACCAGAGGGCAAGTCTCCCCACATCACTCTCTGTATGTGTATCCAATACAACTACGTCAAAATGGACAAAACTATAAAAACAGTTCATTCTTATGCAACAGAGCTGAGTATAAGACCTGAAGCATCCCTGGTTAAACTACACCATAACACCATTCATTTATTCTCTGAAGCCATGCCTGGCAGACATCACTGGGTTTCAAGGAAATCTAGTTTCTCTGAGAGATGAGGAAACAGAAGAAGGCAATGTCCTGAAGTGGTTATTTACACCATCACACATAGAGGGGAGGGAGAGAGAGAGAAAGACTACCTTGTCAGTGCAGGCAGCGTTCTTTTGAGGATATATATTTTGTAATGAACCATACTTTGTGTATCCATTCACTCCAGGTAGGACAACAAATGCCACAATCCTTTTTTACCCTTAGAGAGAAGTTGTTGTAAGTTATGGGTTGAGAACAGTGTGAAATGGAAGCAGCAGGGCAGAGTGTTGGTGTTTCTTTGAGATAGACAACAGCAGTGGCTGGGGGGCTCAGGATGTCATATGAAATGATTGGTGGGGGTGCAGCCTCACCCTTAGGCACAGAAACACTTAACGTAGTGGTGTGTGTGTGTATGCTTCTGAATATATTATTTATACTCCATCATGACAACCCATCTATAAAAAAAGATCCCTTTCTTTTTTTAGACTCTAATGTGAGTAGTCATAACAGACAGCAGCTAGT